CTCAGTGCTTTGTCGTTATAACGTATGCAATTCGGAAAAAAAAAATAATAATATAGTTTGGGGATGTAATTGATAAATCTAATAGTTCAAGAAAAATCTGTTAATTTTGAAAAGGTTTTTGTACACAAAATAAAAGTAAGGATAAATTTAAAAACTAGAAAAAAATAAGAGTTAAAATTTTAATTTTTATTAGGTTTTGTTTTTCTTCTTTCTCTTCTTATAAACCCTATTTTCTTTTCTACCGTCATCACTCTTCTCTCTCTCTATTCTTCTCTCTCTGGCACGCATTGTTACAGGCATGTACTCCCTCTCTGTCGTCACCTCTCTCACATATGCACTTCTTCTTTATTTTATTCTTTTATATTATTATTATTATTATTATTAAATATCATCATCATCTTCACCGTACTTCTTCTTCTTCCTCTAATTATTATTATTATTATTATTATTATTATTATTATTATTATTATTATTATTATTATTATTATTATTATTATTATTATTATTATTATTATTATTATAATCATCATTATTATTATTGCTATCGTTATTATTATAGTTCCTATTATTCTCTTTCTCTCCATATTACGTATTAGATCTTTTCGATTCTATAGTTCCAAAAAAAAATGATGATGATTTAAGTGGGTATAATTATAATTAAGATTATTGTATATTAAATAATTATAGGTGAAGGAAATCTTGAGATTGTTGAACCTGGGACCAATAATTAGAGCAGATCTTTCGGGTTCATCCTTTAGACTGAGGTGAGGGAACTCGACATAACTCTTCTTTCTTCTATTCACTTAGACATGATGATAGGGAACGTAGATATCATGCGGTTAGGACTTTAGGATAGACGCCTTAAATTTTCTTACGAATTTATGATGTATGTTGATTGTTGATTGTTGATTGATGACTGATGAGTGATGATTGATGATTGATGATGATTGATGAATAATGAATGATGATCGATGATTGATAAATTTCTGTTAAGTGATTATGGCTTTTTGTTTACATGTTATGTGATGACATACATGTTATGTGATGACGTTTCTTAATGGATTTATTGGATCGTTAGAATGAGTTGAACTGTTGATACTAATTAAATTTTGACCTAACGTTTGGAAAGATGAGAAAAGTAAAGAATTGAGTTAGGAACTATGATGTGACCTCAGACTGTGCTAAAAAAATATTTTTTAAAGTGAGTTTTGAGACCATGGTACGGCGGCGATCCGTATGTGATGGTATGATAACAACCCGGGCATGGCGGCGATCCATGTGGAGTGATAACCCCGACTACGGCGGCGATCTGTAGAGGGTTATTGCTATTGGTTGAGTTTTGAGGCTATGGTACGGCGGCGATCTGTATGTGATGGCATAATGACCCGGGCATGGTAGCGATCCATGTGGAGTGGTAATCCCGACTACGGCGGAGATCCGTAGAGGGTTATTACTATTGGTTATGTTTTGATAACCTTGACTACGGTGGCAATCCGTAGAGGGTTATAATGATATTTTTTTGGTTTTGTCTTATAAAAAGAGTTTTAAACTAAGTCTGGTATATATAAAAAAATCTGAAAACTATAAAACTGCATTTATAAGATTTTAAAGTTAATTGAAACTACGTAAATATCTCGTAATAGTATAATGCAGATGAATGTACGTCACTATAATTAAAATTAATTCAATACATTTAACTTAAAAGACATTAAAATTAATTAGATTTCCTATACATGGGATGAAATACGGAATTGCAATGGATTAAATTTAAAAAAAAAAAAGATTAGACACATGTCACATTCTCCTCAACTGTATTTTTATATATAAGATGATGACGTGAGATAAAATATATAGTGTGGTTATTTGACATGATTATAAAATCAGATGAATAACTAATTTAAAATTTGATGAATCTGAGAAGAATCACACTACATATTTACTGAAATTTTAAAAAGTATTTTCACCAAATTTATTATGTATCGCAATAAAATGGTTAAATGCATTGAATAACAAAGTTTAATTTATATCTCTCAATATTAATGCATTTTTAATAATTATCTTGCGTAAGAATTAAATTTAAAAATACTATAAAGACACGTATAATGTTACATTAACTATTTGTTACATTTAGCTTTTATAAATAAAGCTTTAAATGTACATCTTAATCTTAATGATTATAATTAGAATAGAAAAAAATTAAAAAAAAAAAGATAGACACATGTCACCCTCCTGTTAACCACTGTAATTTTATATATATATATATATATATATAAGATAAGATATAGATATAGATTTCACAAATATAAAGGGTGCCATATATAGATTAATATGCACACAAATGATAAAGGAAAAACACTAATACCAACGGTACAAAACTAAGAAAGAAAAGGAAAGAGTTATTGACAAATACATAAATGGAAATATGCATATAATCTTCCCTTGATTCGTGAGTGAGGTGATGCAATTTGTATCAATTGTAATCTCCATAATTTAGGCTCTAACGGCCACAGATTTGCTCCTCTCACGTGTTGGCTTCATCATCAAACCCTCTACTTCCATCCAAGGGTATATCTGCTTGAGTATCATTAGGGGTGTCAAAACGAGCCCGGCTCGCGAGTTGGCTCGTGGCTCGCCAGAAAACGAGCGATCTGAGCCGTAATTTTTTCAACTCGTTAAAAAACGAGCCTAACGAGCCAGAGCTCATTGAACACGTGTTCAATGAGTCTGGCTCGGCGAACTGGCGAGCTGGTCAACGAGTTGGTATTTTTTTG